AAAAAAAAAAAAAAAAAAAAAAAAAAAAAAAAAAGATACAATAGAGATATCAACCTAATGCTAATACTCGACAAACCAAAAATAGAAAATGAAAATTTAGATCCTTCTTGTAGTTTTCTAGTTATCAAAAAGAAATCTTTCCTAACATAATAAAATGCAGTATGTAATACTTCTACCAAGATTCTCAAGAAACACCAACATTCTCTGTGGTCTTCCAAGTGATCCATGGCATACAAATCCTTTCGACTTTTTTTTTTTTTTTTTTGCCCTGATCATGGCAAGGACAGCCTTTCAACTATTTTTGAACAAAGAAGACAGGAATTACCAAACATGCAGTGTTAACATGTACATCCAGATTCTAAAAATCTGCCTGAAAAAAAAAATAGATCTTCCCAAACTATCATTCCACATATTTAACCTCCTTCCATACCAAATCTTTAACTTCTCATATGGAAAGAAAAAATACAAATTTTTCCCCCTCTTCCCAATTTTCTTCTATGAAGAACTGGATACTTATCACACTAAAAAAAAATTATGTTTAAGTGTAATCCTTAATTAAGGGACATTTTAATTTCTCGTTTCTTATTTCAAAACTGCTAAACAGAGATGCAAATTTCAGATATTAAAGGCCAGCCCATGGTGAATATAGTGCCACATCAAGAGGAAAATGGCCGGGCTTGGCGGCTCACACCTGTAATCCTAACACTTTGGTAGGTCAAAGCGGATGGATCACCTAAGGTCGGGAGTTCCAGACTAGCCTGACCAACATAGTGAAACCCCCGTCTCTACTAGAAATACAAATATTAGCTGGGCATGGTGGCACATGCCTGTAATCCCAACTACTCAGGAGGCTGAGGTAGGAGAACTGCTTGAACCCGAGAGGCTGAGGTTGCAGTGAGCTGAGTTTGCGCCACTGCACTATAGCCTGGGTGACAGGGCAAGACTCTGTCTCAAAAAAGAGGAACACTTGGATGGGTAATAAATTTGGGAACCATACTGTAATGAAGTGAAGAGGCAAATTTTCATACTACAACTATGAGTCTCTGAATCGAAATTGTAGTGGTT